AAAAAAAAAAAAAAAAAAAATTTTTTAAAAATTGAGAAAAAGGTTGGGGGGGGGGGGTAATTAAAAAGCATAGAAAATACATCATAGTTTTAAAAATTATTAAAAGAAGATATAAAAAGATATAAAAGAAGATATAAAAATGTATGTATTAAAACAAAGTATAAAAACAAGAATCTAAAAAGGGGTAGGAGCATTAGATGGGTGTAGGGGAGCATAACGGTTAGTATGTGGAAGAATATATCAAATTACAGAGCTCTCTAGTATGGCGAACTAGATGCTCATTAAGTCTAGTTTGTGGCACAGGTCATCATCCAACAAATTTTAAGCATTGCTATGCAGAACCTGGCAACATCATATATTGTAGCAGGGTTGGTATCTGAAAGTAGCAGGGAGGAATTGTCCTGTGTGCCTTGGGTATTTATGCAGTAATGGTGCGATGAAGCTAGTATGAATGTCTCTGTAATACAGACACTGGAGAAGCCCATACTCTGTTGTTTCTGTCTGTCCAAAGTCACAGGGGCATTGTCTCTCCGGACAAGGAATCTTCTGTATTGGCCTTCAAGCTGAGGGGAGGGCTTGACATTGTGGCAGAGTAAAAGCCTTCTGGTATTTAGGTACTTCAAGTTTAGTTAGTTATGCCATAGGGCAGGCAGAGTACCTGTTGGATTCACTGGCAATAAAGGTTGGGATCCTGGCTAGATCCAGTTGGCACTCTGTGTCTGCTACACACTGTTTAATGAGTGCTTTGGCCTGATCATATCCCATACTGAGTAGAAGACCTGGAGAGAAGCCCAAGGCTGAGATTTTAGTTGCCACTGCCTGTTTCCATGTGGATTCAAAATCATCACTCATAGTTAATGGGGCAAGGGCAAGGGGAAAAAAGGCATTCTGATTAGTAAACGTGTGAGTTGGATGGCTTGACAATTTAGTAAATACATAGCTGCATCAAGAATCATCCTCAGTAAGTATCATCAATGGTTCCTCATCAAACTGGAGTGTGATAGTGGGGATACTACAAGGATCAGTTCTGACCTTGGTACTTTTCAACACTTTTTTAATAATTTGGAGGAAGAGATAAGAGAAATGCTTATCAAGTTTGCAGCTGACAGAGAATTGGGGTGGGATAATTATTATCCTGAGAGCCAGAATGGTGTAGCAATTAAGGCATCAGGCTAGAAATCGGGAGACCGTGAGTTCTAGTCCTGCCTTAGGTATGAAGTCAGCTGGGTGACCTTGGACCAGTCTCTCTCTCTCGGCCCTAGGAAGCAGACAATGGCAAACTACTTCTGAAAAACCTGGCCAAGAAAACTGCAGGAACTAGTCCAGGCAGTCGCCAGGAGTCAACATTGACTTGAAGGCATGCATGTGCGTGCGTGTGCACACAGACACACACATAAACCTATTATCTAGAACACACACCCATGTTATGAAAATGATCTTGGAATAGGAGTTGACTACAAATGAGTCAGCTGTGAGATGTGGCTGCATCAACAACAGTATAATTTCCAAATCACAGAAAGTAATTACACTGCACAGTAATCTGAATTGCTCAGACTCCATCTCAAGTATTATGTCCAGTCTCAGGCAACACAATTTAAGAAGGAACTAAGTTTCACAGGAACTAAGTCCTATGAAGAGAGGTTGAATGAGCTTAGTATGCTTATATCTGAGAAAAGATGACTGAGACAGGGGCACCCCTAGTGGGGGGATCAAAAGAGGGCAGCACTGCTAGCATGATCATGTTCACCCTCTTGATTTTTTGATCCCCCATGCAGCCATCCTTACAGAGGGAGGATGTGATACCACTCTTCAAATATCAGAAGGGATGTTCCGTAGAAGAAAATAAAGACTTGTTCTTACTTGCTCCAGAGTACAGGCAACAGGATAATGGATGTAAGTTATAGGAAAACAGATTTTAACTGCATGCTGGAGTAAACTTTGTAACAGTAAGAGCAGCATTCCATGGAACCATTTGCCCAGAAAAGTAGAGGCTATACAATCATCCCTCAAGGAAGTTTTAATCTAGATTCTTGCACTCAGTGGCCTAAATAGTCCCTTCCAAC